CTGGTAAAATGTACGTCCATAAACATTCTTTGCCAGAAGCTGTCTTATTAGCCATTAAAAATATGTTTAGAAGTCTGTCTGACAAAAACTGCTGTCAAAGTGCTTACACGGACGAACTCAAAACCCCAGTGAAAGTTTTAATAATTGCATCTGGATACGCATACCAAAAGCTGTTTTTGTGAGTATTATCATCTTAAAATTGGGTTTGTTCGATGCAGTAATATGTTTTAATGTTGGTGTACAAAGCCGCAGTAAAGTAATGGAATTATTAGGAATGCAACCCGGGTTTTATATGGTAAAGAGTCTGAGAAAAATAGATTGTCTTAGAATTCGTGAGGGACAGCTCGCTTACTAAAAGCTTTCTAAAATGGCCAGAAAGAAAAATAAATTTATAAAACAAAAACAGTTTGATGTAGAAATGTCAATTCAAGATGATTATGGTGCAGGAAAATATTAAAATGATATTTTTTTATAAATTATTAGTTTTTAAATGTTTTTTTTTTCGTTTTTCTCAAAATGTGTTTTTCTTAACTTTCGGTACATTTTTCTTGAAAACTATTCGACCTGGAAGGTGCCAATTTTCCATAGTTGTTTATCATTACTATTTCTTTTTGAAACTATGCAGGATATAAAATTTACGAGTATTAGTATTAGATATATTAATAATTTAATACTATTTTTTTGTGATTTTTCAAAGCATTTTACTAATTGATTTTTAATATTTTTTTTTCTTTTTAAGTAAAATACTGCTTATTATTCTTAAATGATATGTTTTTACCTACCATGCACGAATTGAGGACGATTGTTGCAGTACTTTTTAAGAAAAGTGTATCGAACTAGCACATTATCAGAAGAAATTCGTCAAAGGTAAGTGAAATTAAACAACTGGTTTTTAAAAATATTAGGCATTTAATATATATTTTATGTGTTTTCTGTAATCTGTAATCTATGCATTTTAAATGAAAAAAAAAGAATCAAGTGTATAAGTTTATATATTAAAACTAAAATTATTAGGCATTTAATATATATTTTATGTGTTTTCTGTAATCCGTAATCTATGCATTTTAAATGAAAAAAAAATCAAGTGTATAAGTTTATTTTGAGAAAAGTTATACCTTAATAACTTTCATCTCGAAATAGTTGCATTTTACCAGTCGACATGTCGCATGTCCCCTTAAGATTAGATTAGTTTAGTTTAGTTTAGCTTCTAGTCTCTTAAGTTCAAGCCTGAGTGTCGGCTTTATAATACAACTCAAGACGGAGTTCTGTTACACCTTATTGGAATAATAAAGGGTTATTTCCCCTTTCTTGTTGTTTTCTATCTCACGAACTCAAGCGATTATTCGCTTACCTGTTCTTAAGATTCTTCAAATTCTACTGTAACTTAAAAGTATACATTACAGAATCTTACAGGTTTAGTACGCAACGAATATGTTACTTAAACTTAATTGTTTATGAATTTTAATATCTTGTCCTTTTTGCTGAAAACTGCTGTTATGCTCTTGAGCTTAATTCACTCTGGAAGTAGAGATATGTTGCAGTAGCCGATGCAAAATAATAGCAGGGCTAACTAAGACAGTAAGATCATTTTTCAATTATTTCAGTTGTATTATTAAGTTTCTTATGAAGTTTTGTATCTGCTATTATGCTTAAATTATTGTAATTCTAATTTAAAATATTAAGGTTCATTAATTGCAAATTATTAAAAATAATTTTTAATAATTAGGCATATTTAGTTATAAACTAAAAACAGCAATACTGATTTTCAATAAGTGCCGTACAATTGCAGTTTTTCTTCTATATACTAATATTGATGAAGTATAGAAAATAAATATGTTACCAATTTCGAAATACAAAATACATGTCCCAGTGTCGGTGATATATCAATAATTGGAATAAAATCTTTGGTGAATGATAAGGTTTATGAGTTTTTTAAATGGCATAAATGAGAACGGTACAAGTAGCTTTAATAGGATTTAGTACAAGAATAGATGATAGCCTCACATAATCCTTTGTTATTTATATGCATAAAGCTTCATGACGTTATTAAAAATGTGCTTGGAGTGGTTAACGAAGTTTGGTTTGATTACGCAAAGTCTGGACTTTTAAAAGGACCGAGATACGAGAATTACTTGTCAGCGAGATAGTTTTTTGTTTTTACGTTGTTACTGTAGTGTTAAGGATGAGAGCCAGGTGTTTATAATATCTTAATGCTCATCAGTAGTCCAGCGGATAAGAACGCTGAACACTAGTAATTCGATACCACAGGCTCAAGTGATTGCTGCTTACATGGGTGTTATTTTGGTTTTTCCCATGCGTAACTTAAATCCGAGAGAGTTTCTATTATAAATTTCTTCCCTTAAGCAGATTAATTTGCTTTGCGTAGGGACATTCAGTTCCGCGTGACTAGGAGGATGAATTCAACCTCGGATGCACATAATCTCGGAAACTATAGCATGCTTCCAAATTCTTATATTTTGATGAAGAATATACATACTTAATAAAATTTAGCAAAAGTTCTCAGTTGCATTTTATCTAGGCATTGATATAAAGCATTCCTTCCACGGCCAAAAAAATACGTCGAGAATGAGAACAATTTTGTTTAAAATCTGTTTGTTCTTTAGCCGAATGTGTTCTCACGAATCTTATTCCTAGTATGGTTTTACTACATTCCATTAAATGTATGCATACCTTGAAAGTTTGCATATTTTATCTAGTGCGTAGGTTTATATTGATGAAGTTGCAGGGAATGAAATTTAGAAACATATATTTCAGTTATAGTCTATGATAAAGTTATAAATTATGAAAATTTATTCACTCAAAAAATGGGCGATCATATAATAAAATGTTATCCAATATAGAAAATTATATTCACTCTGAAGCTTTGGAGTATATATCATAATTACGCAGGGCAGAAATAAGTAGGATGCTGGTTAAAAATATTCCGAACCAGTTCTCGTCGATCAAATTGTTACACACATTTAAAATATATCTGCATCAAATTTTGAAGAATATATTGAAGATCTATTGGATCACAAATTTGATAATACATCTTGAAATTAAAATTAACCAAAACACTTATAATATATAATGTTACGTTATTCATAGACAAGCAAATACACAAACAAGAAAAATGTTCTTTTTTTTAAAAATCTTTACATAACAAAATTCCAAAAATTTCAAAAATCTTTAAATAAACATACAATTGTGATAAATATTATCAGAGAGTACCTTTAAAAAAGGTTTAATGGTTTTGACTAGAAAATTTGAATCTCAGTTTAACATTCTACCGCACATTAAAGTTTTGAGACAAATTTCGCCTTTTCAGTATCTTAATACATTTTGAATTATAATGACAAGAATACAGAATTGTTAACTGAATTATTTTAAGAAATATGAAGTACCATAATAATAGCTAGGATACCCAAAATAAGCAAGTTGTTGCGATCCGACGCGTCTTCTCGTGTTAAAAGATTTGCAGCTCTAGCCATTATAATACAAACTTTGAAAATGAGATTCTGAAAAGCTATTAAAAGTTTCCATACAAATAGTTTATGCATTAAAAAAAGACGTGAGGAATAAAAAAGTAAATTGCTTCACATATGAATGAATCAAGGTCCCTATTGCAAAGGAAGGAGCCTGCGAGAGAATCTTGAAGAGAAAAACTTTCCTCATTCCTCAAAGAAGAAAAGCTTCGCGGCCATATCTGGGGGAAAAATTATAGTTCTTTCAAACGCATAGCAAACTAGATGTTTAATTTTAAAAAATAAACATAATTGATTAAAATGTTATATGTCTTACTCTTTTAAGGTAGTCATGTCATTACATTCATACATATATCATGAACGTAGCGGCTGAATTGAAACGGAGAAAAAATGAAGAAAACTGAATTCTTTTGACTTCTTACGTAATTTAATTTACTTTAATTTACTTTTATTTACTATGCATGATGATACGGAACTGTTTTGTCTAATTCGCTAGACTTACTTTATCAGTGGATATATTTCAGAGTACAACATCTTTAAATAATAGTTTTACAGAAAGATTTCAAACATTGCAATTGTTTATTTTAAACCTTACTTATATACTATAATCTAAACTGTTATATAGATAGTCTAAAATTATATATACATATATATATAAATGATGCGGTTATACTAAGAGGTGTGCTCACAGTTTTTTAATTATATTATATTGCGATAAGAACATAAATTTTGATGCAATCAAGCTTAGCTTAGCTTGAACTCCGCCTTAAAGAAAATTAATATGAAAATGCTAGTAGTCTACAATCAAACTGACATCCATCGATTAGCGGGATTTTCTAATTTTGCGGCAGTAAATACTGGAGTTATACAGTTCGACTTAATAGAGGTAACTCTCTCGCAGGTTACTTGCCAAATGATTATAAGAAATGCGTTGAGTTTAAAAGAAGCATTTTATGTACACACATCCAAAAAATGTTTAAAATCTCGACAAACATCTCAAACTGTAAAGGAAGGAGTTTTGCGTGCACAGAGATACTTACTAAAACTATTTATTTTGAATTCCTGTTATGAATTTAAGACCTTTTTTGCTTCGGCTTCATTGAATAAATCTGAAATTTTACCCGAAATATACTTACTAAAGTTTGAACACGATTGTTTGACGTATAATTTAAAAGCACGAGCCTAGTGAATAATTAAACTAGAGCGCTTAAAATTACTTTACTTTAAACTCCACTCTACGCTAATGGTACTTAAAAGATCAAAACATTACTTATGATAATTTGCTTTCTCTTTTCCCCGGCAGCTAAAATGCCCAATTTTCCAATTTAGTGCATTATCTTTAACAATCAGCTTAATTGCGGTGATGCACGTGTCTTAGAATTTCCCATGAAACAGTTATAACTACTTGTCTTTGATACTTTCTATTGTAAAACATATACATATAACCTTCTTATCAATGACAACGACTTGATGAAATCTTACGTAACTTCACTACGGAAACAAAACAAAGCTTACCGTTTTAAGACCACTGTAGCATCTCAGCTGATCGGAGAATTGTAGAAAGAAAATACAAGATACGATACTAAAGCCCGCACACTTGACTTTCTTATGTCTACAGTAACTTTCTCCTTACGAGAGAGGTACTACTTTATGTGCTTTCAAATGTGTGCCTTCGGAATGTACGATCAGAAAGAGCAGTGTTTTGATAAAGAGCAGACTGCAGCTTTCAGCGTGCTCTTATGCTCGAATAGCTACTCAAGTGAGTTGCCTGAACCTGGAGCAAATGCTACCGAATGTTGCTAGCAGAACTGACGAATCAATTGTGCTGGAGAGCCCACAGTGCAGGGGTTACCGATGCTTCTTGGCGAGTGGTTCTCGCCGCCAAACAACGAACGGAAAGTTGTTGGAATGGCTTTTAAACAAGAAAGCGCCAAAATTCGTACTGTCTCCTTAGAATAAAAATATAGTGGGTGGAGGATATATAGTCTTTTCAGAGGATAGTTAAAAAATGGTGAGACGCAGGAAATTAAGGGTCTTGTTACACAGCCTTATTTCTTAATAGAAAGGTATGATATTTAAGCAAAATATTAATATATAACACAAATTAAATTTAGAAATAGTTGGTCTTTTATTTTAAAGCTATATAATTTCTTATATGGTCTTTAATTTCTGTTATTCTTTGACAAAACTAGTCCCAGATTTGACTAAAAATATTGCATAAAACAAAATACAGCCAGTTATGGAATTCACGTTCGGTTTATTTGATTGTGACAATGCAATTAAGGTCATCTGCCTAAAGTGAGGAATACCTTCATGCAGTACTTTCTAAGGGAGACTGGCTTGTGTATATGGTACACATGGAGGAAAACATGGAAACTCTCATGCAGCCAGCCCATTCGTTTAGAATGGAACCCAGGTCAGAACTGTCAGTTTTCAGTGGTTTTATACCGCTCTGTCGTTAGTGAGTCCCAGCTAATAAAGAAATCTGTTAACATAATATTTGATCATTTTAACATCGAAAAGAAAACCTTCCGTTGGTTATATAGGAAAACATTATATTAAAAGAAGAAATTTGTTTATTATTTAGTATAAGAACAAAACATGATATGGCTTCCTAACCGGGATAGCGGTTAGCAACGCTGACTGCCATACCGAAGATCCCGGATTTGAATCCCGATGAAGGCATGGATGTTTGTAAATGTACAGTGTCTGTGCGGCAGGGGGGCATTCTAAATATGCGGCGAGCCGAAAGTCCCCTCGAGAGGTTGCTGGTAGGGAAAAAAGGTGGGAGACCCTCTGACCCATTCTCCCGGGGGCTCTTCATCAGATTTGCAATTTGCATTTCTCATCAGGGCGGAACTGAGCAAAGTTACTTGTTTGCTGCTCAACGCTCTTGCCAACAACCGGTGCAATCTTGCATTCCTTGCTAGGATGAATCATGGGTTTGTGCTGATGTTGTTATCAGACAAATGAGATAAGTCACAAGGCACCACCAATGATACTAACTAACACAGTTTTTGCCACATGAGACATTTATGTCAGGTTTTGCGCATTGTTGAAGAATATGAATACGAAAATTTTTCACCACCCTCTATTTTATAATAAATCATTAAGACTTTTCAATCCGAAAATATTACCAAAGAAAATCAAGTACAATCAAAACTCATCTTGCTATAAAGAATTATACTTTTCGTTTTTCGGAATTTTTGTGGACTTTCAAATTAATTATATGTCATTTGACTGTGAGACATAATGTAGACAAACAGAAAGAAACTTAAATAAATTTTCCAACAAAATTCTCTCTTCAAGGTTTCGGTTACCCATCGATGTGAAAGCAATGCACAACATATTTTGGATAGAGATTAACATTTTCTGTTCTGTCTTCGATAAATGTGGAGAGCTTCATAGATATGAAAGGCAACAGTCAGACATAAACATCGATGATATAACGAGAAAGTTACCCATACATTTCTGCAGAATAGAGATTGCGCACACAACGAAACCACCGACAACAGTAGCGAGTCCCCAAAGAAGTGAAAAAAATATATCTTTGTTATTAGATATTATTAGGTATGATATTAGATTATAGAGACATTAGGTTATTCTGAAAGCAGGAGAGATGAAAAATTAGAAATTCTCTTGCCGAGACTCGAACCACGGGCATCTCGAATACGCGCCGAGTGAGCTGAACACTACACCACAAATGCATGCTAAGAAGGCGTAAGAAATACCTTATATACTCCCCCTTTTAAAGGGCGACTGGAGATTAGGCGACCGAATCACCAAATCCTGGAGGTGGAGAATCATCTACAGCCCTCCTTTTTAGTTCGAACGCTACTGTACATAAATTAGGTCCTTTTGAAAGCAGCAGAGATGAAAAACGTGCAATGCCCTCGCCTGAACGCGAACCACTGACCTATGCGCCAAGTGTGCTGACCACTACACCACGAAGGCGGGAAAATACCTTATAAGATATGGCCGGTTATTTGATATCAATACAAAAATGTAGTTTCATTTTCGAATAACTACTGCAGCTATATTATTCGGACTATAGGGTCTGCATACTGAGTATTACTGTTTTCCGAAACAGTGCTATAAGCTCTATATCCAAAACAAGGCTTAATGTAAAATTTGTTAAAGCCATGGGGAAAAAAGGAAGAAAACTTGTATATCTCAAAATCCAGTTTCTAAAAACTTAATAAAGCGAAAGTAAAAGAAAAATTGTTCCTTAATCCCAGATTTGAAAATCACAGTTAAAACCTTTCACAAAGTGTTTAATCATGATGAATCAGTGGACGCCATCTCTGAAAATGATGCATGGCCTTAAAGAAATAATAAAACAGAAAATAATTTATACTTAATTGGTGAAATCGTAGATAGTTCCTGTAAGCTAAAATGGTAAACATTTCTGGAAATCCCTGCCTACCCTAGATATCATTGTTATAGAAGTATATTAACGACGTAATTGAAGTACCATATAAAAATTTGTCTTTCGTGCAAGAATCCACCTCACCTGTGTCATATAAAAGCATTACTGTTATGAGACGCTTAAAATACCGTCTTCGTATTCAGTAAGTTCAATTTAATTAAAGCGATTTGATTTCAGCTTACGGCAGACACAGAGTTTAAATTTTCTAGCTTATAGAATTGTTCACTGTTATTAAATTAAGATTTTTATTAAACAACGTTCGCCTATTACTCAAGTTACTTAAGGTGAGTTCCTTGAACGATCTATATGAAGAAGTATGTCTGTTTGTTTGTTTGTTTGTGTGTGGGCAGATCTACAATTGTATTGCGTTCTTGATGAAATTTGCGCACTTAGCATTCAAAACAAGAGGAAGAAGTCATTGTCTTCATAAGATTGCAATAAATCAACCCACAAAGTCCACACGCAGTACATTTATATTAGAATGCTGCACTCGGGTGACTCATCTTAGGCTCATGTCGCCATTGTTACGTTCCCCCTATCAGGTCTTCCCGCTACCTAATGGTTGCCATTTTCTTCTACTCTTTAGAAGAGTGTAGAACCTTTAAAGCGAATTAAAGTTGCTTTCTTTCAGTGTCTTGTGAATATTTCGGAAACAGTGAAGGAATATGCCAAAAACGATTGAGAATTTTCAAACGTTCATTTCCAAAAAGAGACATACCCGATAACAAAGTAATTACCAGTTCTCACTAAAATCATTATATGCCGTCTTAGATTTATACTATTATACAATACATTAAAGTTGTTCTACAATTATATAAGTTCTAAAGTTTTATTATATATATGTGTGCTCTTATATATGTTCTACAGTTTTATTAAAGCTAGGTGAAAATTTGCCAATTGAGCTTTAACCAAAGTAAGTGGAAAATCAGCGTCTATATTTCGAGAAAAACCGATCCCTGCCCCTCTTCCCCAAATGAAGCCCCTTCACTCTGTTTAAGGACTGGGGATGCCTGGTACTTAAGCTAGTTTATAGCTCAAGAACATTTCTATCTTTTCATCATCAGGTCATTTTCAATATTAATATATTCTGATTACAAGTTATAAATACACAGTTATAACATATCATAGAACAAAGTATATACAAAGTTAGTCATATATACAAAGTATATACAAAGTTATATATACAAAGTTAAAAAACTATAGTATCTAAATTTAGATCGCTCATTTTTACACATGTGCATACAAAGATATCTATTTTCTTCCAAATAAATCACTCAACTCGACCTGCCTAAATTTTAAGCACGTGTTAGCACCAGTATTTTCAAACAGGAATTCTTACATAAAATTGATTTTTAATACGTTATGTCAGGAGAAATACTCCGTTAAATAACGAATACTCCGTTAAATAGTTCACCAGCTAATAATACGTTTTTAGTATACCATTAGTATACAATATCAAGCTAAATTAAAGTTTTAAGCTATTATATTATTTGCAGTACTAGCGGGCTAGTGTCAGTGAAAGCTAACACAAAATCCAGTGTTAACGCGATCTGATGTCATTCAAAATAAAAGTTTAACAATAGTTGAAGAGTTACAGCTACATGTAATGAATTGAAATATTTATCAGCTGAAGCCATGATCTTAACTCCAATTTCAGATTTCATACTAAATCAACTGCTCTGTATAGGTATGTGTAGCTGCTACATAGAGCTTTGCTTTTCTGGTTGCAGCTTGGTATATTTTGCCACCTGCTTAAGTGCCTGAAATACCAATTTAATATCCATACTTTCAGAGAAGAGAGTTAGGAATGAACGAGCAATAGACTGAAAAACAAAAATAAAGCTGTTTAAATTTTAAACCCCTTCCACCAACCTGTCATTGAGAGCTAGTTTCCTTTAGAAATTTTTCTACAAAGACATATTTTCTCTTAGGCAGATAGTTCTAATATATTTTTACATAATCAAAAAGTACATTGGCATCTAAAAACGCTTATGATTGTTTGCTGAATATCAGTCAGTTGCATTAAACTCATCGATAGTTCAGGCATCGATTCAATGTAATATAATATGCATGTGAAAGAAACATAGGATGCGATTACCCTTGCTAAGAGAATTAGACGATCTGACTTGATTTTTAAGCATTATTTTCACTTCGTCTGCAATTTTTCTTCTGGATTTATAAAAGGCCTATCGTGTAAGATACTGAACTTCATGACATTAAAGATTTACCTGCCAGAACTCAAGTTTCATTACTTAAATCCTTGGATACCTTTTGATCTGGAAACAGGAACTCGAAATTTCTGCCTCCCTTTTTGTTATCAAAAACGTTCCAGCACACACCAGTTGCCCAG